TGGAAATCATGGAATTTTCGATAATATTTAGTGTTTCACCTTATTAATTCGTATTGTATTCCTTACTAAAAATTATCAAATCTCAAAACCCAAACATGTTTGAAATCAAACATTATCAAATTTCAAAACCAAAACATGTTTGAAATCAGAAGAATTTTTGCACTCATTCACCGTTATCACAAAGTTATTCATGTGAATCAAGTTTTATATTTTTATGGAGTTCTCTTTTTTTCATGAATCAACATTAGTCTGTCTATATATATATATGTACACACACACAGGGGAATGAAATTCCCCACAAATACGTACCTGGTCGAAACACCAATATCACGAAGCAATGTTCTGCACAAAAATCCCTCACAAAGATCTGCTTGTCGATTTCAGATCCGATCGTCGGGATTAAGCCTTGTCATCATCGATTTTTTCTGGTTCTGTCTTCTTTTGCGTTTTATGTTATGGTGGTCCTTCATTCCGGCCGTCAAGAGAAGAAAAGCGGAAGAAATAGTGGGTGGATGGGGAAGATGTACATATCGGATTCCGCCGAGAGAAGAAAAAGGGAAGAAAGAGAGGGCGGATGGTGGATGGATCGAGAGAAAGAGTGAGGGAGAGAAAACGTGGCTAGGGTTAAACGGCATGAGATTTGGGTGGGTTTGGTAAAGGGTATAATTGTACTATATATTTTAAAATTAAATTATGGATTTATCTCAAAAAGGTGAAAAAAGAATGGACCCCCTCTAATAGGAAATGTCATGTGAGGGGTTTTGTCAAATAATCCCTATATATATATATATATATATATATATATAATAATAATAATTTCTTAATATTCTTATCAAACACCTTTTAATAGCTTATATAAGCCCTCAAATCTTATAAATTAATTTTAAGAGCATATAATCATAGCCAAGCAGGTTATAAATGGCATTCACTTTTACCTTTTCCTCTTTATAGTTAAAAGTGAATTCAATTAATTGAGCTCGTCGAAGTCCAGTCATTCAACAACATTCAAAGGATTCTATCAAAAAAAAAAAAAAAAAAAAACCATCATTCAACTTTGAAGATTCAAACCTCCAATATTGAATTCCATCACAAAATCCCAAAAACAACGCAAATATTTTTAGAATCCATTTGGATGGAGGGATTTGGAGGGAGATTTGAAATCCATAATAATATATCACTTGTACTTGTTTGCATTGAGGGATTTGACAAGAAAATTCAAATCCACATCCCTCATTTTTTTTTTTTTTTTTTTGAGCAATTGTAATGGATTTCAAATGACTCCAAATTGGGGTAATTTCAAATCTCTTCCCTAAATCAAACCCCCTCCAAACCCCTCCATCTAAATGAACCCTAAAATTTAAATACGTAGTAAATTAGTTCTACAATTTCCAAGTTCAAAATTAAATACCCAAGTCATCAAATTTCAATCCAGGTTTTGAACTATAGTTTTCAAATTTTAATTCCAAAATTCCCAAAAGTCCATTTGTTTGTTGATAAATTATTTTTCTCCTTGTCTTTAAGTTATCTATGGATTATTGATCAAATAAAACTTAATTTCATGATAGAAGGAACTGAAATTTCAAGTTTTATCACAAAAGTACACTGACTTGAAAGAAAATTGCCGTTTAGTTCCTTATTTTCCTAGTTAATTTTTTTAAAATCAATATTTTTTTCAAAAGTCTCTTAAAAACCCAATACTCATTCAATTAATCTTTTAAAATGTCTAGATCTAAAATTAATAAACTTAGATAGTTAGATTAAACATGCAATAATATCATTACAAGAATCAAGCAAACAAATCATGATTTTTGATACTATCCTAACTAGCTCCAAAAAGAAGAATTGGAAGAAGGAAAGCGTGCGAATTCGTTGGACAAATGGAATTACATGCATCCGAGATTCACGCCTATTTCTGGCAGTTTTAGAATTCGGGCTATAACTCTCTCATACGAAGTTCAATTAAGGTGATTCAAATTTCTAAGGAAAGCCAACTTAAAGATCTAAGACTTTGATGTTTTGGTGCGAGAGAGATTCGGAGTGGAAGAGGTGTGAAATCGAGCTTGAAGTCAAGACAAGTGCACAACCAAGTGTCTACTCGAGTTATGAAGAATGTTCGTATCGTCGACTTGATATTTTGAGTTTAGATTTTATTAAATTACGTTTTTATATTAGTTTTAATATATTTATAATATTTTAGAGTTAGTTATGGTTAGGATTTTCTTATTTATTAGTTTCCTTATTATAGATTAGGTAAGAGTCATTTTCCTTGTGAAAAAGGAGTCTTTTTAGATCTTATAAATATGTAGCCAATTTGGCTGATTTTAATGGACGAATTTTGATAATTTAATTGAGAATATTCTCTTTGGTTCTTTAAGAACCGTTCGAACAATTCGGTGGATTCCGTTTGTTCACCCCGACTTATCAATCGATCTTCCGCAATCGATTGTGGCGTCTTCGCATACCAAGGTTCTTGCCTCTTTATAGGCAATGGGTCGCGGTTCCACCCCATTGAATCCTTCTTTGGACGATCCTGGATATGATATCCGAAGTATTGATATCGGGTCTCGTCACGATGTTGGCGTGGTTCGTATCATTTGGTACTCAGAGCCATCTTCCTAAGAAGGTTTCGCCTATCCTTTATCTTGTTTTTTGAGTTAGTCTTTTGTTTTTTTTTCGTGTCTTCGCTTTGTTTTTCGTTTCGTGTCTATTGTTGTTGAGTCTTCTTTTCTTTTGTTTTGTTTGTCTAGAGTCCACAAAAAAAATCGAAAAAAAAAAAGAAAAAAATGAAAGAACGAGTGAGTTTTGTTATTCGTTAATCTCATGAACTCTATTAAGTTTCTTTCTTGTGGCGTCAACATTATAACTTTGGTTCGTGGTTCTATATAGCCATTGGGTCAAGTTGGTTGTTCCATACTTTTGGTTTGCGTTTCTATATAAACGTTAGGTCGGAGTGCTAACAAGGAAAATTTAATCTTGTTTATTGGATGGGGAATTTCATTATTATTTGTTCGTTAAAAAAAAAAAAAGAGAAGTTCCAAATACAGCGAAGAACTTTCTGCCTCATGGATTCGCTTTCAATACAACACGCTCATTCAGAGGAATCGAATTCGAGGACGAATTCCTTTGAAGAAAGGGAGTATGATACGATCCTAACTAGCTCCAAAAAGAAGAATTGGAAGAAGGAAAGCGTGCGAATTCGTTGGACAAATGGAATTACATGCATCCGAGATTCACGCCTATTTCTGGCAGTTTTAGAATTCGGGCTATAACTCTCTCATACGAAGTTCAATTAAGGTGATTCAAATTTCTAAGGAAAGCCAACTTAAAGATCTAAGACTTTGATGTTTTGGTGCGAGAGAGATTCGGAGTGGAAGAGGTGTGAAATCGAGCTTGAAGTCAAGACAAGTGCACAACCAAGTGTCTACTCGAGTTATGAAGAATGTTCGTATCGTCGACTTGATATTTTGAGTTTAGATTTTATTAAATTACGTTTTTATATTAGTTTTAATATATTTATAATATTTTAGAGTTAGTTATGGTTAGGATTTTCTTATTTATTAGTTTCCTTATTATAGATTAGGTAAGAGTCATTTTCCTTGTGAAAAAGGAGTCTTTTTAGATCTTATAAATATGTAGCCAATCTGGCTGATTTTAATGGACGAATTTTGATAATTTAATTGAGAATATTCTCTTTGGTTCTTTAAGAACCGTTCGAACAATTCGGTGGATTCCGTTTGTTCACCCCGACTTATCAATCGATCTTCCGCAATCGATTGTGGCGTCTTCGCATACCAAGGTTCTTGCCTCTTTATAGGCAATGGGTCGCGGTTCCACCCCATTGAATCCTTCTTTGGACGATCCTGGATATGATATCCGAAGTATTGATATCGGGTCTCGTCACGATGTTGGCGTGGTTCGTATCAATTTTCAACCATGCAGCCACCAAAATTCGAAACTTAAGAGGGTGTCTTATTAATTTTGAAAACATTTTTTGTTTTAACATACAATACTATTACAATACCGAACATCGTGGTAACCACTAATTCAGTACTTGTTTTAGTAATTTTAGGTTGATTAATCTGTGTTATGACATTTTTTTCCCAAGTGTAAGACGGATGAGGTTTTAGAGAGAGTGAAAAATAAAAATATTAATAACTGTATTCATAGAATTATTATCTGAATTTAACAATTGAGAAATTCAGTTGTTGAAATGATAGAATCAATTGTATATCTTTCAATGAAACGAAACTAAGTGTAGAATTGTATTTGGGTGCAGGGATTAGGAGGAGGGTTTTCAAACCCATAGAACAAATTTTTTGCACTTGTTTGGATTGAGAGATTTGCCAAGAAATTTCAGATACATACCTCTTCTTTTTTGTTTTTTTTTTTTTTGAGCAATTGGAGTTGATTTCAAATCCTTTCTCCAAATCTATTTCCCAAATCAAATCCTTCCATCAAAATCGATAATTCACCTATTTTATTTTACAAACTTATTATTCTTGTGGTCCCATGTTTAGATACTTGGATCAATTCACATCATTAATAAAGAAAGCGGTCTAAGAAATGAGTAGTTGTTGTCACGTTGGATTATATGATACATTGTCCAATTAGACATGCCGATTGTAACGTGTATGTGTGCCCACTCAACACAAACAAACATACAAAAGAAACACAAGGAAGAAAATAATTTTCCCAATTAAATTTCTACTAAGTCTATTTCATAGTCGGCATCATTTGTCTATTAGTTATTGACTTGTCAAATTGCAATAATCTCTAATTTAGTTTACGATTACCGCACCAACCCAACTCCATTAGTAAAAATGTCCACAAGGAGTTACTAAATTCAATATACTCATAAAAAGAATAGCAAAAAAAAAAAAAAAAAAAAGAATAGCAAAAAAAAAAAAAAAAAAGAACAGAAAAACAAAACAACAAAAAAAAATTACAGAAGAAATATTTGGTCCAAACCAAACCCCTATAGCTATAGATGCCGGTTTCTGTCAAATAATCCTTGTAAAGCCACCTTTTTCTTGTACCCCCAACGAATCAAAATTAACAAGATCCCTATCATATTTATGTTTAATTATGTAGGATTTGTTGATGTTTGCTCTAAAACGAGGAAAGAAGTAAATCCAAGCAGCTGCGCATATAGTGGCACAAATTTTACCCCAAATCAACATCACTATCAATGTAACCATTATTATAAGCGCACCAACAACCGAGTCAAATTCGGCGGCCATTATTAACTTATTGCCATTCTTACTCTCGCTGCCTCCGTCGGTCGTTGGTTTCTCTTTCTTCGGTCTTGGCAGCGGCAACGGCACAACATGTGATAGCTTCGTCGTCGTTTTGCACCGTCTTTCTTGACCTACATTATTGTCTTCCACTGGAGTTTCAACATCAGCCGACTCATCCAGATTTTTGCTCTGAAAAAAGAGAGAGAATATGAGTAGAATATGAGTAGAGAGAGGTTTTTTTTTAATTTATGTGTGGAATTTAGTAATTTTAACACGCCCCTTAATAATATATATAATAAATGTTCGGGTACGAACCGTAAATCTAAGGGGTCAAATCAGGACCATACAAAACTGTGATTGTTTCTATTTCTATCATTAAAACCATTTTCAAACTCTAATGATTCCGGTAACAGATTTTACATGCTATACCTGTTTAATTATGTATATATATATATATATATATATATATATATATATATATATATATATATATATATATATATATATATATATATATAGGAATTAATTATGTTTCAAGACCAAAAATTGATGGTGATGAAACAATTTTAATTTTGAATAAAACATATTATTTGTTTGAATCCTCAAGAGTTCATAGAAAACAAGGTGGACTTATGTAAAAAAATAAATAGTTATATATGATTTACCTTGGGGTTTATTAATACTTGATGGGCAGTAGGTGGTGGATCAAGAAGCATAATTGTTTCATCATCCTGATGATGAGCCTCGGCCTCCTCTATAACAAGAATTTCTCCGTTCGAACTTTTGATTTCAGACGACAACGACGTAAGCCTTTGATCATTCACAGCTTTTTCACCCAAGGAGTTATATTCATTAGAATCTTTGACCGATTTTCTACCACCATGATCTGCAGATACTTTGCTGGAAATTCCAAAACAACTCCCAAAGAAGCAGAGGAATCTCTTCCTATTGTTTTTTCTGCCCTTTCTTTTATGCTTATTATTGACCTCAGCCATGTGAAGACATACAAAGAGCTTAGCTGCATCAATGGTTTTTCTTTATGTCTATAGTTGAATGCATTGCCCTTCTTGTTTTATTTCATAAAGGTGATTAAAAGTCTTTTATATGTATATATTTCTACAAGTAGTTAAATTACGTCATATGTGGAATTTAACCAAGTGTTTCTGATTATTTAGTTGGTTGTACAAAGACGTTATTTGGTTTAGAGGAATTAAGTGTGCTTTGACTTTGAGATAAGGTCTTTAAGTCAATATATAAACATGGTTTCACCTTCTCCACGTTATCACCAATACAGCATATCGAGGAAGAAAGGTTTGAAAAGTTCCGTTTGTAAGATGGAGTGTACCTAGATAAGATCTTCACTCCTTTGTCTTAGATTCTTTTTATGGGGTTTTTGTGATAAAGTCTCCAACCATACACCTTTATTATTCTAGGTTTAGGGGCTATATCTCTTTCACCAATAAGCCCATCCTTTTAATATTTATTATAAATAAAGGAAACATTCATGTATATCTCCGGCGTTGACTTTTTTTTTTTTTTTTTTTTCGGATTTTTTCGCCAGTTTCCGGCTTTGACTGTTTCGTTTTTTTTTTCCTTTTCTTTTTTCTTCTCTTTTCTTCCGGATTTTTTCGCCTACGTCCGTCGCTAAACGTTGACCGTAATTGTGCTGTCACTGACTATAAATTAACGTAATTATACTATCAAATATCAATGATAGTTAATTAACATAATTATACTGCCGTTGACAATACATTTATGTAATTGTTCTGCTATTGACAGTAAATTAACGTAATATTATTATTTTTTATTTTTTGTTATTTTTTTTATTTTGTTTGATTTGTTGACAAGTCAACGTAATTATATTACTGTCGTTGAAAGTAAAATAACTGTAAACACAATAATATTATTGTCAACAACATCAATATTATTATTTTTTTGGGTTTTTTGTTTTGTTTAAGTTATTCACGGAGTAACGTAATAATATTACTGTCTATTATTGTAATATTACTGTAAACACAATAATATTACTGTGGTTGACGGTAATATTACTGTTGTTATAGTAATATTCCTGTCAACCACATCAATATTATTATTTTGTTTGGATTTTTTGTTTGTTTGTGTTATTCATGGAGTAACATAATAATATTACTGTCTATTATTGTAATAGTACTGTGGTTGACGGTAATATTATGTTGTTATAGTAATATTACTGTCACTCACAGTAATATTAATTCTTTTGGTTTTTTATTATGTTTACAGTTGTTGAACGGTCAACATAGTATTATTACTCTATTACACAATAATAATGAGTTTTGTTGTGTTAATATTACTGTGCTAGAGATTAATATAGCAATATTACTGTGTTAAACTATAGTTTAGTTAATTTTACTATGTTTAACAGTAATATAGTTAATATTACTGTCAATCACAGCAATATTGCTGTTTAAACGAAAAAAAAAGGTTACAGAAAGAAAGAAAAAAAAATTTGAAAAGTCAACGCCGGAATCCGGCGGGAAAAAAAAGTTTTGAATTTTTTTTTTTGTTTGGAAAAAAAAAGTTTTGGGTCAAAATTGAATAATTTGTGAAATTTGGGGTCAAATTGAGGTTAAATAAAGTTAATGATGAAATTGGAGCATATTAAAGTATGAGGGGTTATTTTAGTCATTTACAAAAATCTGGACCATGTGTTGACTTATTGGTAAAAGAGTTTTTTGTCTTGATCTCTTTATAAATAAGTACCCATTGATGGGCTTATTTGTAAAGACCCCCATTTTTATTATTTAGAAAATGTGGCGAAAACCTCACTACATTATTATATAACAAAGACAAGCTTTAGTCCCTTTTTCTTTTGGATAAATGAGAAACACGGTACTTAATTCAAAAAAGTGACATTCAACTTTTTTCTCTTTCAAATAATTTCAACTCATTCAAATTTATTTGCAAATAAACAAACCCCTTTTATATATATTAAAATTATCCTCAATTAAACTTTAATTTCACGATTTACCCCAATTTACCCAAATTTCACCAATTAACCAATTTTGACGCGTATTTCAATTTTGACCCGCCACCCCCGGAGACCGCCTCCGGCGATTGACTTTTTTTTTTTGAACTTTTTTTTTTCTCTAAAATTTTTTTCCGACAGGTAAATCGCCGGACTCCGGCATTGATTTTTTTTTTCGAATTTTTTTTTCTGGAATTTTTTCCGGCCAGTCAACCGCCGTTGACTACCGGTCTCCGGAGTTGGATTTCTTTTTTCTTAAAAAAATATTTTAACTAATACTACTGTCGTGGCTGCGAAATTACTGTCTCCAACAGTAATTTAACTTTTAATTGACTTTTTCCTTTTTTTTTTCCTGAAATTTTATTTATTGTTAATTTTTTTTATTAATAATACTGTCTTGGCTGCTAAATTACTGTTGGAGACAGTAATTCAACAACCAAGACAGTAATATTAATTAAAATATTTTTTTGAAGAAAAAGCAAAATTTCAAAAAAAATAAAAATAAAAATAAAAGTCAACGCATGAGACCGGTGGTTGACCGACCGGAAAAAAATACAAAAATAAAAATAATTTCAAAAATAAAAATAAATAAAAAGACAATAGAAATTCAACGCCGGAATCTGGCCGGAAAAAAATTCAGAAAAAAAATATTTTTTGAAAAAAAAATATTTTTTCAAAAAAAGTATTAAAATGGAGGTTAATGTGATATATTTGTTTAAATCCGCGATCAATGTGTAATATTGAGGAAGTTGGAGTATAATGGATGAAATTGATAGAAAAAAATATATTATGAAGGGTATTTTAGACAAAAGACATGGGGATGGGTTTATTTGGAAAACTATTTTTTGTCTGAACCAATGTGCAATTAACTCCCTTATCATGTCCCTCTTAGTCATTTGCCCTTAATTAAAAAAGCGAATTTGATATAGACCCACAAATTCAAGTTTTACTACAAATAGGCCCACTTTTTAATTTTCATTTTAAGATAAACCCATAGAAAACATTAATTTCCAAAATAACCTTCTTACATATTTCTATTTGAGATAAGCCCAATCCACCCCCATCCCATCCCACCCGCCCACCAGGCCGGTCTGACCCGGTCAGATTTTTTGTTTTTAATTTGAATTGTTTTTTTTTAAATCCTTTTTTTTCCCGGCGTCCAGTCGTAGGAGCTCCAGTTAGCCGACTCTCATCATTAGTTAACTTTAAACAATCCAATTTTTTTACCTTATATCTTTTTTTTTTCTATTAATTTTTTTTTCTAGTGGTTGGTCATCGGAGTTTTGATTAGGTCACTCAACATTAGTGAACTTTAACATTGGTAGACATTTTTTTTTCAGGGGCAGGTCGTCAGATGTCCGTTTAATTAGCTCACTTACATTAGTTAACTTAAACATGAACATTGAAATTGTCGGGTGCAAGCTAATGCTTAGTCTGCTAATGGGATCCTTATATAACTTCCGCCGAAAAAAATAAGAGTTGAAAGGAACAAAAAATGTCGGATGTTAATTAATGCAAAGTGAACTAATGTATAGTCAGCTAATCAGTGATTCGACGTCCCATTGCTGGAAAAAAAAAGTAAAAATAAAAAAAGTTGGACGTCATCTAATGTTGAAGTCAGCTAATACGTAATCTGGTAATGCAAGTCAACTAATTCGAGCTCCGATGACCCCCCGACTGAAAGAAAATAAAAATAAATTAAAAGAAAAAAAATAATATGTCAACTAATGTTGAATCAGCTAACCGGAGCTCCGAGGAACAGCTGCTGAAAAAAAAAAAAAAAAAAGGAGATGTCAACTAATGTTAAAGTTAACTAACGTTGAGTCACCTAACCGGAGCTCCAACGACCCACCACCGGAATCAAATTAAAAAGAAAAAAAAGGATTAAAAAAAAATGGAATGTCATATGTCAACTAATTTTGAAGTTAACTAATGATGAGTCAGCTAACTGGAGCTCCGACAACCCGCTGCCGGAAAAAAAGAAGTTAATATTAAAAAAAACTAAAAGAAAAAAATGAATGTCAACTCATTGAAGTTATCTAATACTGAGTCAGCTAACTAGAGTTTCGATGAACTGCTGCCGGGAAAAATAAATAAAAAAAAAAAGATAAAAAAAAAAAAATGAATCTCAACTAGTTGAAGTTAACTAATGCTGAGTCAGCTAACCGGGGCTCCAATCGCCTAGGCCACGGCTGGAAAAAAAAGTATTAAAAAAAATATTATTTTTTTTAAATTATAATTTTTATATAAATAAATAAAAATAATAATAATCAAAATATAATAAGATAAAACAAACCCTAATTGGAATTTGAAAGGGTAAAAAGGGTATAAGCTAATTATTTGTGTCTATATCAAATGAAACAAATAATTAATGGGTTTTACTCAAAAATTTAAAAAAACTTGAGCTTATCCAAAATTATGTAAGCTAGTGAGCGGGCTATCTCAAATAATCTCAAATTAAAAAAAAGGACATCCAATTTTTTTGTCTTACATATATCCACCCCATTCAAACTTATTTGTTAATAAGGAAAACTCTTTAATATATCCCAAATTATCCTCCCAATACCTTGAAACCCTAATTCAACTCAAAATTTATGATTTATACCACAATCTAGCGCAATTTTATTAACTAACCAATTTTGACAACCTCCGCCGTTGACATTGTTTTTTAAACTTAAAAAACAAACAATTTTTTTCTATTTTTTTTAAGCAAAACACAACCAACCCTATTTCTTGGTGGAAGAAGAATTGTTTCCTTTAATTCTTTCGTTGTATAAATCTTTAAAGGTTCATTTGTATACAAGTTTTTATTGGAGAAAGAAAAATAATTTCTTCCGTAGAAAATTATGTTGCAAAGCTTTTGAAGAATGGGGCCAATTTTTTTCTCTTTTTTTCTTTCTCAATTTATTGGTCATAGGTTTAGAATTCTACGAGATATAAGACCACACTTATTGGAAGATTCTTAATCCGAGATGACAACAGATGGTCGGA